AATGACAGACCAAGACTTAATGATGCTGTCATCCTGCACTGTCCTCTCAATCTGCCCCTTACAGGAATGTTCTATAATTTGGGGATGGCTGGAAGTCAGGCTTGCCTTTCTCTTAGGATAACAGAGATTAATTGGAGGTCAGTGTTAGTGAACAAACATTAGGTGAGACTTTTTTTTCTGCATTTCCAAGCTTTAATTATGGTGCAAACTTTTCAAACACTTTCTAAAAAGCCTGGTAAGTACAGAGAGTATTTATCGTCCAGTCATATGGCGACATCTGTAGCTAATTCTACTTTTTAAAACAGGATTTCATAATCAAGATTCTTTCCCCTTTATTGAAGAATTATTCTGCTTCAGATGTAAAAGTAAATCAAGAATATTCACAAAGATCTTCTTTTATATTCCTTCAGGCAGGAATTAGTAATGCTGGGGTCTCAGTGGCTTCACAAAGGATTTAAACCTTATGAAAGAAGGGGCAATGGTCTCCTAGACAATTCTATATACCTGCTTAGAATCACAAGCCAAGTTTTCTTCTACCTATTTCTAGAATGAACTATGTGGCAGTCTCCAAATTCTGAACTCCAATTGTTTGTGCAGATCTGCTCAACTTACCTGTGTACTGCATCAGAGCATCATGTCAATCTATTGAGGGAAATGAGAAAGAAGGATAGAAAAGTAGTGTGCTTAGATTCACCTTTGATTACTCACAGAAAAATATGGTTTGAGGTGTTCCCTAACAAAAGTCACCACAGAAGTATTAACTGTTTGTACTCAAGCTAATGATTGGTTGACCAGGGAACAATGGAGATTGATAACAGACAAACACAAAACTTTTTTGAGAGTATCCTGATGGTAGTAATGGTTTTATGGAAATAGAGATCTTAAAACTTACCAAATTACACACTTTAAATATATGCTATTTCTTATATGCCAAAAATATGTCAGTAAAACTATTACTCACTCTCACTTGGACTTTCATAATGAAAATAAAATGGTTTGCAGTACACTGCAAAAAGAATAGCTACCACAGGGCTGGGGATAGAGTGCTTACTGCATTCTTGAAACTTTGGGTTAGATCTCCAGCATTGTGTGCATAGTGTCATGGGTTTGTAATCCTAGCTCTTGGGAGGTAGAGGCAGAAGGATCAGAAGTTCAAGAACATTCTCTTCTCTGCTACAGCTTGATGGTTTAAAATAATGATAATAAAAAATTACCTGCATCTATACCACTTGTATTAAACTGAGTAGGTTCCATCCTGATATCAGTCATGTGAGTGGAAGGCTCTAATGGGTGTAAACTGACAGCAGATATCTGAAGAGTAGTGTGGCTTGTGATCTTCTGTAGCCCCACCACAATGCTAAGTAACCTGAGTTTGTACTAGCACACTGACAGGCTGTGCAAGTTCACCACCTCTCTCCAGGTTTACCATATAGTCTCTTACTCCCTATTTACTTCTATAATGTGATTTCTTTAAAGCCTTCCTATCTTTCTGCATTCAAGATTAGCATACTTACTCATTGTTTCTATTTTTGGTTTTTTTTTCCCCCCAGTACTAGTGGCTGAACCCAGGGTCTCATGCAAGCTAGGCAAGTACTTTATACATGTATTCACTACATGTTTCTCTTTAATTTTAATAAGCCTTCTGCACACAATGTGTGCATCACTTCTCCATGTGTCTGACATCCTTAAGTTCAACTCCCCTTTTGGTCTCCTGGATTCTTCCTAGCCTTTTACTCAGTTAAAGATAAGGCAATGCTTTATTGACCTTTGTTTCCCCAAAGCTAAGTGTCAAAAAGTAAACTGATATATTCAATGTATATTCATACTAAATTCCCAAGAGAAAGTTCGACGTGATCAGAAATTGAACTAATGTTACACAAGACAGGGCCATGCTGGAGAAGTCTCAGGAATAAAAACAAAAAAACCCAGGAAGACGAGTTTAGCCTTCAATTAGAAATTCCCTTCAGAGGAAACATGTAAGGTACTTTGTTTTAGAAATTGGCAGGGAAGGGCAATGAGATGTAAGAGCCCTGGGGCACTTAAGTGCCTATGAGAATTCATTAGCTTTGTCTGCCCTAACTGATGGGAGGGAGGGAGCAATTGGGCACTAGGGAGAAGTAGTACTGCACTCCCAAGTCTCCTAATTAAACAAATGGCCTAGTTTTTCTCAAAGCTGAGAAGGTGTTTCCTTCCCTTAGGTAAAGCCTCGGGGACGGACATCTTTCTCTTCGAACATTAGGCAAGAACCTGTAAGTAACTGTTAGTCTTTCACTAATGAGCTTAGGTAAACTTTTGACTGAGGTCCACTAAGTATTCAGCATGTTCAGTGAGGGAGATACAACTGTTTACCTCTAGCTCTATGTACTCAAGGCCTGTACTAGACCACTGAGTGGGAGAGGGCAGAAGGGACTCCTAACAAAAGACAAGCCTCTGGGCGGTGTTACAACACTTGTTCACCACACACTAGCCCAAATGCGCCACTAGATGGAGGATGTGAAGGTCAACTGTGAGCATTGCTGCTCTTTCATTTCCAGCTAGTTGATTGTGTCCCCATCTCTCACTCTGTAGATGGTGGATCTTGCAGGGATCTGGGAGAGAGACCAGAGAAGTCACAAAAGAGCTCGTCTGTCATTCTCCCCCATCATCTAGTTTAAAAAAAAAAAAAAGATCGATCATGTTAGTGGAGATAGTTATAAAAAGCCCAATGTGAGAAAGTGTCTATGAAAGTAGGTTTGTCTATATATTGTATATGCCCACTAACTGAATTGATTTCAAAATTGACCTTCATTCTGAAAGCAAGACAGTTAGCAATGTGCAAATAAAACATCCCACGCTGCTTAAAGTGAAGAATGTTGTGTGTGTGTTGGGAGGGGGAGGGGTAAAAATTAAGATTGTTAGACCAAAGCAAAGAGAGGTGAAAACACTTATGAAAGAAGCTCTGGGCTGTGATGTCACTTAATAGTGCAGTATTTACAGAGTATTTACCCTAGGTTCCTTCTCTAGCACCAGAAACGGTTAAAGAAAGTAGAGATCCAGGTGCTTTAAAAAAAACAGCAAGGAAAATCAAGTTTCAACATGGTCCAGCAACCTACTTTCAATTCTTACAATACTAGAATGAAGCAAATGCAATACTACAAAAACAAGTAGGATTGCTCTGCCATAGCAAAATAAATACATATGCAAGTAGGCATGACAAACCCTCTTCCTACTTTCTTTATTCTAAGGGACTAGGAAGCTGAAGTGCAGTTATCTCCTGAGTTTTATGAATATTGTTTCCTGAAATGGTCAGGCAATCAAGAATATCTACTATCCATAGCAGAGGTTTAACGTACTAGGCCTACCTATGTAAACCCTTACATTGTCTTTCCTCTGAGCATTTATCATTATATAGCTAAATATATCAGCTTGTATTATGAATCCAAAAACCTAGTGTAGACTCATATGCACATGACTTTCTTATTACTGCCTAGGAAGGGCCCAGGAATACCTGAAAAGGGCAGATGCTGTGACCAACGTAGTTATTTTTAGGAGACTGTAAATATAAGAATCTACAGGTATTCATGTTCACTATACAAAATGGGACAGTATCTGTACAGAACATATGGAATTCTTTCATATATTTAAGTCACATGTAGATGATGTATGTTGAGGGAAATTAGCTAGGTTCCCATGATTGTCATGTGAAAAGTAATTGTTCTCTCAGTGACTTAAAAAAGTGATACAGGCAAATACATTATTTATGATATAGTCTCTGAGTCAAAAGCAAATAAAATTCTGTTATCAAATTAAAAATTCTTAGGTTTTCTGCTACAAACACATGTATATACCAGGTGTAGTGGTGCATAGCTGTAATCCCAGTACCAGATAAAACCAGAGGACTTTCACAGGGTCATCCTCAGCTACATACTGATTGTGAGATACATGAGATGCTGTCTCAAGACTTCAAATGCCCTTCCCATATATATATATATATACACACACACACACACATACACACACACACACACACACACACGCACAAAATGATTGGGAGTCCATAGTCCAATATATTCACATCCAAACTCATGATATTTAGCTGATATTTCCCCAAGGTATACCATACAGATTTTTTCATACAGATCTCCCAAGTATAACCCTAAGAAATAAAGACCCATGTGTCTTCTTGACTACACTATTTCAAATCTCATGTTCTGCTTTAGGATAAACGTATAAAGAGCATGTTTCCTCTGTGTTAATTCTGGTTAAGAACAACAATGGCACTACTATAAGGCAGGGACGAGCGTGTGAAAATCAAACAATAAGCCAAGGACCCTCAAAAAAGTAAATGTGAATGAAACATAAGATAGAAACTTGAGTCTTGATAGGACTAGCCGTCTAGTTTGGTGACAGAGCACAAGCACAAGGCTGCCGAGAAGGTACTACGAAGACCTCCAAGCAATCAAATAGAAGAAAATCAACTAACAAATATACCACCAAATTCAGAGTCCAGTCCCTATTCCTGCAACCATCTATCTGAAAACACATTTGTTGAAATTGTTGCTGGAGCTTTTCAATTTGGAAAGGACAAAGTGCTAAGTAATAGATTTTATAAAACAGTGTGAACACTCCCTTCACAGTGAGCATCTGGTATCACACAGACCCAAGTAGCTGATGATGGGTATCTGTGAGACTGTCTAATAAGTTTCTTAAATAGGGTTATCAGATGCCTTGTAGAGTAAGAATAAGAGGCAGGGGTTACTTGGGAGGATGAAACTAAATGTCTCGGTCCTAAAAAGTGCTACCACAATTAATGGAAAATATTAGAGACATTTCCCACTTAGAAAAAGCAAGGCTGCACACTGTCTCTGCTACCAGCAGTACTAGTCAACATAGCTACACAATAAAATCTGCATATGGAGAATGTTGTCAAGCAAGTTATCTCAACAGAGTAATATTTATGGAAAACCTTAAAGAAGCAATGTTAAAAAACTAAAACATAAAAGAACACAGTGAATGCTATATAATTAAGATATAGGTTTAATTCTCATACAAAGTAAACGTAAGTAATGGGAAATAAAACATCATGTATGATATAAACATTAAAGAAAACTAAGGAAATCTGAGCACTTCTAATTGGAGGTAGCAAAAAAAGATTCTTGTTCTGGTGACTACACAGGTTGTTCATGTAATGATTAACTCAGTTTCAGACTCTGGAACTGAGTGATTTCCTGTGTGTATTTATAAAACTTGTTTTAAAATATACATAGTGTATTTTTAACCATCACTACAGATATGACTTGGCAGAACTGGTGAGATGGCTCAGCTGTTAAAATGGGTTGCTCTTGCAAATGGTCTGCCTTTGGTACCTAGAACTCACGTAACTGCTTACAATCCTCTGTAATTTCAGGCAGTCTTTTAGGCCTGGTTCCTGGTACACTTTAACACCATCTTTAACCACAGGTTTTGTTTTTTTTTTGTTTGTTTGTTTTTGTTTTTGTTTTTCCCACAAGCTTTTTCTGTTCATACTAGGCCTTGGCTATTGAGTAACTAGGCCAAGAATAGTACTCATGGTTTTGAACTGCCAAGGATTCTGTTCTTTAGATTATAAGGCACACAGTTACCACACCTCTGCTCAAGCATTTTTATTTTTTTCTAATCCCAAGTGCTACATAAGCTCCATATTGCCTCTCAGCACCATATGTAACATTTTCTTTTTAGCTGATATTACCTGATATAGAGCAATAAATGCATCAGGTGTCCTAGCACCACCTACAAGGAAAGCTTCACCACAGTAAGAATTTTGAATAACTATCTTTCAGTCTTAGGTATTAAAGAATAATACTATCATAAAAGAGGCAGGCATTAGGGTTTAAATCCTAAGAAATATTTGCTAACAAGTGGGTTTTAGGAACCCAAACTTCTTGTCTCAGATGCCAAAGATGTGACATGGAAATGCTGATATTTTCTTCTTTGGGGTTTTATGAAAACCGTTATCTGCGAGGTCCATTTAAGATTTTCAAGTTTACAAATTTAAAACAGAAATAACAGGACTTCACTCCACTGTTGCAGGGATCTGGATCTAATGATGGAATGACTTAATTTTTGACTGTATAATAGGTTTATAGGGATGCACTACTATAGTACCCTGAAGTGAATCTATACACAGCTATCAAAAGCATAACACATCAGTAATGCCACATGAATACTTGACTTAAAGTACTTAAAAGTTTGTATCTAAAATTTCGAAGAGTACTCACTAAAACCTTACATGAAAGTAGCAGTGATTAACTTTTCACATAACATGGTATGGTTTCTGGTCAGCAACCAAGAGGGTAGAAAACTCACTTCCAACCAGTAAAGCCAACAGGGAAACAAATATCCATCCCGTTGTAAACTTGTAATGAATTTTATTGCTTTCTCAGGCAATAGAAAGTCTAGGAGCAATAAACTGAGCACCACTGTAATGTATTTCAGAAGTCACAGTACAGACTGGGATTACTGTGAGTCTTCTAGAGTGTCCTCTTTAGACTGTAGTTTTCATCTTGAGGGTCACACATGAATTTTAAAAAAAAAAGTCCGTTTTTTTTCTCTAAGATTTTTTTCTCAAAAAAGTCAAAGACCTCTGTTTATCAATGTTCAGGGTCATAGAATGCGGGGAATACTGCCGGGTGGTGGTGGCGCATGCCTTTAATCCCAGCACTTTGGAGGCAGACAGATCTCTCTGAGTTTGAAACCAGCCTAGTCTACAAGAGTGAGTTCCAGGACAGTCTCCAAAGTTACAGAGAAACCCTGTCTTGAAAACAAAACAAAAACAAAAAAACAAACAAAACAAAACAAAACTGAATGTAGAAAGTACTAGTTGCAAGAAAAACTGCAAAAGATTTCTTAAAGTAGCACCATTTACTCATCAAATAAAACTGTGATTCTTCTGCTATAGGAGTTTAAAATGCATACTGGGGGAGTAGCTAGAAGTCTGTTACTCTTCCTGACAGAAGTCACAAGCAACCAAAGGACCTTCATTAGGAAGCTCTACACTTTAATCACAATGCATTTGACACAGGTACCAAAAATGCCCATATTACCCAATACACAGCATAACAGAGTTCTAAATATGCCACTGATCAGGTTAAGTTTCCCAAAGAAAAGAGTATCTACATATCATTTGTGATGGGGCCTAAGAGTTACTCAGAGGATCATAACTCTAAAAATAAAAAGATCATTATCTTGTCATTATGAAAGTCTTGTAAATACAGTTCTACATTCAGACACAGAAGACTGTGGCTAAAAACATTTTCACAGAGAGTTAGAAGTGTATGTTCTCACACATTTTCAGAAAGAACTGAATTGTATTTCTCTTTTCTGTTAAGAAGCTGCAAAAATTTCTTCAAATCTGAGTGTTTATAGAGGTCATAATAATTGAGGATAACCTCAAATTCAGCACGATTATAGCATAGTATTACACATAATTCTTTGACATGGATGACTTTCGTGTATTTGTAGGCTATCTGGCACAATGATATCATCGTATCCTGATGTCATCTTTCTATATGCCTGCCGTACCTCTCTCCATATTATCAAACCAAAAATCTATCCAGACATTGACAAATGCTCTGAAGAGTAAAACTGCCCCAGGTTGAGAATCAATACTGCCTGAAAAAGATTTTTACAAAAGCGTGTATGTCAGTGCCATGTAGGATATTTTCCAGATGCCTTTTCCCTTTTAAAAGAACAAGCATTTTGCTTGTGAGCCAACAACAATAAACAGGCTGGCTAGTTTGCTCACCTCTTTTTATTGACTTTTTCCTGTTTCTTACTCCTGAGATTGTTCTCTTTACTCTGATTTCTTACCTAGAGAACAAATGTGAGATGAGGAAAGATTTCCCTAGTTACTGGATTGATAAAGATTCACTCTGGAGTGCCCTTAACTTTTGCTGATTTTATCACTAAACGCTCAAGTTTCTCCTAAATTCTCATAAGTTTCAGATTATGAACTATGCTGAAAATTTCTTGATACTCTATACAAAAAATTTCCCATTCCCTGTTTTCTCACAGAGATCACAAGTGTTGAATACCAAGTCAAGTCTTCTCAATTTTTACACAAACTGGATTTATCCCAATCCATGTCACCTTTTGCGATTTATGTGGAGAGTTCATGAAAGATTTGTGACTTCTTAAACCTGTCAGGTTTCCTTTACACCTGAGTACTCACTGAAGCCTTTTCCACATGGATGGGGCAAAGAGCTTCTCTCCCCGGTGGGTTTTCATATGACTCCTAAGGGATGAATGGTCACTGAAGGTTTTTCCACAAACAAGGCATTCATAGGGCTTTTCCCCAGTATGAATCCTTCGGTGTACATTAAGGTTGGAACCTATGCTGAAGGCTTTCCCACAGTGGTCACATTCATAAGGCTTCTCGCCTGTGTGGCTTCTCATGTGAGTCTTCAGGGTGGATTGGTTTCTGAAAGCTTTTCCACACTGACGACATTCCACACGCTTCTTGACAAGATGAATGCTCATATGCCTCCTCCGTGACAGGTAATCACCAAAGACCTTTCCACAGGAAGGGCATTCATAGTGTCTCTCTTGAGTGTGTATCTTTCTGTGTGCAGTGAGGTTGGAACTTGCACTGAAGGCTTTTCCACAGAGATCACAGCCATAAGGTTTCTCCCCAGTGTGAGAGTTCATGTGTGTCTTCAGGATAGACTGGTTTCGGAAGGTTTTCCCACACTGGCAACACTCAACTGGTTTCTTTACAATATGAATCCTCATGTGTTTCCTCCTTGATAGGAGGTCACTGAAGGACTTCCCACATTCTTTGCACTCATAGCTTTTCTTGACCATGTGGTTCTTCTTATGCAAATTGAAGTTGGACTTCCACCGGAAGGCTTTGTCGCACTGTGTACACTCATAAGGCTTTTCCCCAGTATGGTTCCGGACATGCTCCTTCAGGTGGGAGGGGTGCTGAAAGGCTTTTCCGCAGTCCTGACACTCATAGGGCCTCTCCCCAGTGTGTGTCCGCTTGTGGGCTATGAGGTGGCAGCTCCTGCCATAGGCTTTGCTGCACTTATCACATTTGTAGGGTCTTTCACCAGTGTGAACTCTCATGTGTATCTTCAGAGCAGAGAGAGTCCGGAAGGCATTACCACACTGACTACAGTCAAAGGGCTTCTCTTTCAGGTGAGTTCTTGCATGGCTCCTTAGAGCTGAGGGGTCATTGAAGGCTTTGCCACAGATGCTGCATTCATAAGGCTTCTCCCCAGTGTGAATCCTACGATGCCTTGTAAGAGATGCGCTGGTGGTGAAGGCTTTCTGGCACTGGTGACACTCATGCACTTTTCTCCCTCCATACATGCTCATGTGCTGCGGCAGGTGAGTCCTCTTCTTGAAAGTAACTCCACAGCTGTGGTGGTGACAGGGCCTCTTGCTTATGGGCCTTCCAACTGGCTGACTTAAGTGAGGGCCAATACTGAAGATATCAAGTAAATGGGCGAAATCAGATGATTTCTCCAAAAGATGAGATTTTTCCTGTTGGTTAAGAGACGAGAGCTGACTTTAGCATTTTATAGCACCCCTTATTTCATTTTATGTTTTTGGTGCTGATGTTTAAACTAAAGGCCTAGTAAATACAGAGTATGGGCTTTAACGTAAGTGTATAGGTCCAGTCTCTTTAAATATTATCTCTAAATAAATTAGCACCAATAGAAACATATTACTATGACAGTGTTGAATAGTTTTATAAACTGAGAAACCTCAGTTAAGAAACTGTTTCCATAAGATGAGGTTATAGGCAAGACTGTAGGATATTTTCTTAATTAGTGATCAATGGAGAAGAGCCTGCCGATCTTAGTGGTGCCATCCCTGGGTTGATGGTCTTTGGTTCTTTAAAAAGGCGGGCTAAGCAAGCCTTGGAGAGTAAGCCAGTAAGCAGAGCCACTCCATAACTTCTGCCATCAGTTTCTGTCTTCCTGTTTTGAGTTCCTGTTCTGTCCTTCAGTGACAGACTATGAATGTGGAAGTGTAAGCTAACTAACCCTTTCCTTCACAAACTGCTTTTGGTCATGGCGTTTTATCACAGCAATAGTGCCCAAACAAATCGAATGACCAAAGATGTCTTTCATTTAAGCTTTATCAAAGATAAAAGGAGGCTTGAAGTGGTGGTGGCACTCAACTGTACCCCCAATTCAGAAGGTTAAAGCACAAGAACTTTGTGTACCCAGCCAGCCTGGGTTAAACAACAAGATCTTGTCTTAGTTAAAAAATAAAAGCAGGGAATGTGGCTACTGTAGCATAAAACTTCATATGTGGTACCCTATAAAGCTTTTTTCGCAAGCAAATTTTGTTCAGTACTTAAAACCAAATTAATCTCCATCATATGTTATAGAAATATTTACTTATCTGAACTCTAAATGAAAGAGTCTGGGGCTAGATTTGGGATCCTGCCTAAATTGACAATTCAATGGATCTCATTTATGTATCAATGAGTTCAATATCAAGATTTTGGCAACCCCAGACTCAGACTATTTAAAGACAAATGTAACTATATTAATACTGAACACACATAAACTTCCGTCATTATCTAGACAATATAGTAATAAAGTTATTTACACATTTTACATACCACACTGTATAAGGTGATATAGGTAATCTAACAATAATGTAGACCATATGGTAAGATATGTACAGGCTGTATGCAGTCTATGCTGTGACATTTTATACAAAGAAACTAAGCACTCTTAGAACTTAGTATTCACAGAGACTTCAGTGGAATCAGCTCAATGGAACTCAGTACTAAGTTACAACTGTAGCTTGGCACTGTAGAACTCCTGTTTCCTTTAGAGTAGGTCACTTGACTGATTCTTCGGTGAGCTGACTAGTGGCTGCCTTGGGCTTCTCAAGAAAGACAAAAAAATATTCTAAGAAAATCTTACCAATATCACTCCATTAGATGTTTTCTCACCAAAAATATCTTCCATAACAATGGACCACTTTATTTGAGATGGAGTTCCCGAATCTGAAAGAAAACAAAACTGGATAACCTGGCTCATTCAGAAAAAGTGAGATGATAGGAATGAAAAGTAGACTTCTTTGTAAATTCTAACAACATACCAGGAAAGACAGGCACAAGGTAAGAACATAAAAATAAATAAAATGCTAATAAATGCCAGATTCAAAGGAACACAGAGATGAAACTACATGTCAAAAGAAACAGATAGATAGTAAGACAAAGAACACTTCCTTATTTCTTAGCATTATTAAATGTGCTTCCATGTTAATGTTTTGAACGTATTTGTTCAGTGGTCTATGTATTAGAGTTGGCCTCAGGACAGTGACTTTGAAGTTGCAGAACCTTTAAAGGGGTGGGGCCTATTGTGAAGTAATAGGCCACTGATTACACTGTTCTTAGATGGAACCAAGTTGGTCTTAGAAAGTTAATGACGTCCTATAAGAGAAGGCTGTCTCATAAAGGTAGATATGGTAACCTATGCATGTGACACCAGCATTCAGGAGGCTGGGGCAGGAGAATCAGGAGTTCAAGGCTAGTTTGGCCTACAGTGAGACTCTGTCTAGAAAAACACGAGACAAACAGTGACAGTTAAATGACACCAACATGGTCTCTTCTAGCTCTTGCTTCCTATTTTACAATGGGATATTTGTTTTGACTATGGTTATGCTACCATGCTGTCAAGGATAATTTCATTATTAACTTGCCTGGATTTAGTCTGACCGTGGAAACATACACTGGGTGTATCTATGAGAGTGATTCTAAGTAAATTTTAACTGAGGACCCACTCTAAATGTGGGCAGCAGCGTGCCATAGACTAGGTGGAGGTGGAGGCACAGATTGAATAAAAAGGACAAAATGAGCTGAGTACATCATTTATCTCTCTCTACTTCCAGAAGTCAAATACTAAGGGATCAGTTACTGTTGCCAGGTGATTCTTGCCATGATGGACTGAGCCTTGAAACTGTCACCAAATAAACTTTTTTCCCTTAAGTTACTTTGTGCCTGCTACACAAAGACAATCTGTCATGTTTTATATAATACAGCTGGTACCAGGATGATGGCACCATGTTCCTGATTTGTTACATATGTAGGATAAATAATCTTCCAGGTTATTTTCTAACAGAAACAGGAAAGCAACAATATATTCCCTCCACTCCAATCACTGAAGAGCTGATAGCCAAATGTCTTGTGTTTACTCACCCAGAGAAGTACCCCATTGAATGTTTCTCTCCTCCATCCTCAGCTCCTCTTCTTGTTCCAGATGTGAGATGAGGCTGGGTTTGCCAACTTGATACCCTACTCACCAGGAAAGAGACATATGGAAGGGGGACTGTGCAGAGGACAACCCTTCCATTATACTAGGGTAAATAATTTGGTCTTCAGAGTTTTCTGAAGGTGGACATGACAGACTTATGAGCCGCAAGATGATGATGTCACATTTTTAAGGAATGCAGAAAAAAAATCTTCCATAAAAGCCAAATCCACTCATACTTTTACATTTGCTTTCAAAAGAATGTGTTTTTTGTTGTTGTTGCTTTAAGTGCTAGGAATGGACCATTAACTAGAAAAATCACTCTACCACTGAACTACAACCCCAAACAAGAATGAAAAGTTTTAAAAATAAAGTTTTACAATTTTAAATTTTGCTAATTTTAATAAATTAATTTTTCTGTGTGTGTGCTTGTCCATGTTCAGAGGCCATATGAGGTCATTGGGCATCCCAATATATCATACTACTTCATTCCCTGGAGAAAGGGTCTCTTATTGAACTTGGAGCTAGGCTGTTGTCCAATAATCTCTAGCAAATATCTTGCCTTCACCTCCCATATCTGTGGAATTTTTACATGTTATCTGCAATGACATCCAACTTTGCGTATGGCTGCTAAGAATTTGAACTCAGGTCACAATATGATACAGTACATTCCCTTACTCATTGACCCTTCTCCGTCAACAAGAATGGGACCACTTACCTTAGAAATTTTGGTTAAACTCAGTCACATACTTGAAGACCTCCAATCTCATTGTAATGGACAGGTCCTCCTACTAGAGAAACTTACAAGGTTGGGTACCAGTTCTGCTTGTTCTTAACTTTGCTACAAACCCCACCTATGTCTTGGGTCAAGGCAAGTACTAGGTGAAACATCTTATCCCTAAACAGGTGTGTGAACAATGGTAGCCTTACCCAGGGACGTCAGGTTGCTATAATTCTCCAGCATTACATCTTTGTATAGTTTTCTCTGGAAAGAATCCAACAGGGGCCACTCTTTCTCAGTAAAGTCCACAGCAATATCTTGGAATGTCACAGACTCCTAGAATACAATACATTCAAAGTCAGTGAGAAACCAGGAAGTCAGTGTTCTCCCTGGAAGACAACAGAGGCAGAACACGGGGATGGAAGATTTGACATGTGAAATCAAGATATGGTCTGCTAAAGGTTTCTGTATGTGTATTAGATAAATATTCCCAGACAGTGTCTGTTCCCTCTGGAGACTGGAATCTGTCTCACTGCTTCAAGTACAACCGACAAGAAGAAAATTGCTTTCTACCTCTAGGGTGGCTGACAGCTTGTAGCTTTACTTACTTTCTGTCTTACAACTGATTCTGAGCACTATGCAAACATGAGAGGAACCTCTGCTACATAATCCACTTCTTTTAACTTCCCTAATGATTACAACCATCTAACTTTCCTTATTGTCCTAGTCCTTGATCAGGCATTCACTGACCTGAATGAGCATCTAAAAGAAATCCATGCAATGGTGATGGTAGGGTATCCTAAAGTGTACTTGTCCTACCCTTGGGCCTTGAGGTCTTATGTACCTGAAAAGAAACACGAGTCGGTGTATTCGGCTCTGGAGCACAGCAAGCAAACAAACCCGAATTCTGCTGACAAGAATGGTATTTTGAAGGAAGAGGAAGTTCTGATTCTTGGCTACCTGCAGAGCTCTGAGAGGGTATAACTAAGACAAGGAAATAAAATCCTTTAAATTCATCTGCCTTCTAGTGAGCATACTCAACTCACACAGACAGAGAGAGAGAGAGAGAGAACCCACCCCATCCCAATGCACTCCCCTGCTTATTCACAAACAAAGATGGAGAAGAGGTTGTTGGTGATACACAACCACAAGCAGCAATGCATTCTGCACATGAGTTGCTTAGGGCCATGTTTTAATTCAGGTACTTTTTTTTTTTTAGAGTTTTGGCATTTTTCCATAAATATAATAATGGATCCTTGGATGAGATGTTTAAACAAAAGATTCATTTATGCTTCACAGTTATGCACATAGCTGAAGATCATTTTAGATACTTTCCCAACATAGAACATAGCTATTTTAGGTACTTTTCCCACACAGCTAGTTGAACTCCAACCTGTCACTTGAGATAAGGTATAGAATTTTTCACAAGTGGTATCTTAGCTATCCTCACAAAGTTTCAGATTTGGGATTTTCAGATTAGGGATATTCAACCTCTACATAGTCTCATTTTCTGAGTGAGGAAGTCCCAAGAGGTAAAGTTACTGCCTTTCTCAAATTTATCAAAACAATAGATCATGGGGTCAATTTTCACCTCTATCTTCCTCATTATATATGTAAACTATATGCACGCTCTTCTTTGTTCCAAACCCACACATGCCTATAATCAGTCATATGTACTACTATCATTCAGCTCAGGAATCAGCATCAACAGTTTATATAGCCATATCTCCTCTATCTTACGCATGAAAAGAGACATGCTCATTTACTGAGGACAGGAACAAAAGAACTTACCAAGTGTGGGAGACAGACCAAGTGTAGCCATCGTTTATGGGCACAGGCCACCTTAGCTGAATGCAGGCATATGTGAGGAGTCACTGCTTTTCAAAGGTGACAACTGATCCCAGGGCGACTTCAAAGGCTATCTCTCTTACTTAGTGAGGAGAACTCTGAATTTTTTTTCTTGACATTTCTTGACCCATAAGCTGTCAAATAGTGGGCCAAATTAACCTAAATAGAGAAACTCAAAGCATTTCCACTAACATCAGGAACAAGACAAGACTGCCCACTTTCTCCATACCTATTCAATACAGAACTTGAAGTCTTAGTTAGAACAATAATATAAATAAAGGAGAACAAGGGAATACAAACAGAAAAAGAAGGAGTTAAGGGACTTTTAACCACAGATGATAGGATTATATATAAATGTGATCCTAAAAATTCCACCAGGAATACTTTCAGTGAAGTTACAGGATACAAAATTACTACATAAAAATCAGAACTCTTCCAATGAGCAAATACAAATGGACTGTGAAAGAAATCAGGGAAACAATATCTTTTATAACTATATACACACACATAATTCTGAATAAGGTAAATTGTACTACAAAACTATACTAATAAAAACAGCATGGTTTGCCATAAAAACAGACATACTGATAATTTGGATCACATTTAACACAGAGACAAGTCCACATACCAATGGACACTTGATCTTTTTATTAAAAAAAAAGCCAGAAACACACTTTGGGAGAAAAGATAGCATCTTCAACAAATGGTGCTGGTCAAACTGGATGGCTGCATACAGAAGAATCCAAATAGATAAATACTTTCCACCTTGCATAAAACTTAAGTCCAAATGGATCAAAGACTACAACATAAGACCAGATAGACTGAATCTGAGGGAAGAGAATGTGGGGAATAGTTCTGTATTCATTTGGCACAGAGGAAGATTTTCTGAACATAACAATAGCAGAAGCATTAAGAACAATTAATAACTCAGATGTTGTGAAACTGAAAAGCTTTTGTATGGTCAACAACACCATCGTTTGGAGGAAGTAGCAGCTCACAGAATGGGAAAAGATTTTTTCCAACTATACTTCTGACAAAGAACTAATATCTAAATATATATAAAGAACTAAAAAAGAAAACTGGACATCAATAAAATAAAAAACTCAATTTAAAAATGTGGTACTGATCCCCAGAGTACCCATTCTCAAAAGAGGACACACAAACGGCTGAGGATCCCTTAAAGAATGTTCAACATTATTCGTCACTAGGGAAAGGCAAATCAGTACAACATTGAGAGTTCATCATACACCAGCCAGAATGGCCAAGACAAATGACTACTCATGCTGGTGAGGATGTGGAGTAAGTGAGACATTCATCCATTGTTGGTGGGAGTGCAAGTTTCTATAGCTATGATGGAAATCAATGCAGTTCCTCAGGAAGCTAAGAATACATCTACCTCAAGATCCACTTATACCATTCCTGGGCATATACCCAAAGGTTGTTTCATTCTATTCGAGAGACACGTGTTTAACCATATCCATTTCTGCTCTATTCCTAATAGCCATAAATTGAAACAGTCTAGACATTCCTCAACAGAAGAATGGACAAAGAAAGCATGGTACATTTACACTATGGAATACTTCTCAGCTGGTTAAAAAAAATAAAATAATGAATTTTGCAAGTAAATGGATGGAGCTAGAACAAGTCATCCTGAGTGAGGAAACCTAGACTCAAAAAGACAAATATTGTATGTATTCGCTTATAAGTGGACAAACTTATTTATTAACTGCTAAATATTTGATAAGCAGGCAATAATCCACAATCCAAATAAGTACAGAAATGAGATATAGAGCCAGGGACTAATGGGGAGGAATGGATCTTTCCAATTAAGGGAAAAAAATAGATGGTCATGGACAGATTGGGGGTAGGTCTAGAACAGGAGGATCAAATGGTGAGGGGGAGGCAGAAAGATGTGAAGGATGAAATATGAGGAGGGACAGTTAAAACTAAAGGCCATTAAAGGGTCACCCAATACAGTAGAAGTTATCTAAAATATATACAAATATGAAGGTGATCTAAAAGTAATCACCAAATAATGGGACAGATGGAACCTCAACTGGACATCTCTCATCAACAAATGAAGCTTCTAGAGATGGGAATGGGTTACATGTAATTGAGCGTTTGGCCAAAAAGACCCCATGGAAATACCTAAACAATCCAGGGTGAGGTTCCATTGCTGAGGACAACACCCAAGTAACTCATTAAACAAGAAGTTGTTGAGCAGGTGTCTAACTAGAGCCTTAACCCCTACTGACTAGTGTTCATGGTATTAGATATATTCTGCATGCTAGCAAGTAAGACAGGTAAACACCAACTTACCTACTAATTCTTTGAACTACAATGATGTGCTGTGTGCAAGTTGTACTAGCACAATAGTGGTACAAAACTTATGGGAGTGACCAAGCAGTAAATGACTGAAATTAAAAAAATCACTCTATGAGATGGGATACATCCATGAAACTGATCAAGTGACTAAGAACCTGAAATTATACAGGCGAGGGACCTAACAGAACACCAAATACTATTCTTCTAAAGGAATGTGACACTAAAATGACTTCTAAGGACATTCTGTTCTAATCATAGATCACTGTCTGCTCAGCCATCATCAGAGAAGCTTCTTCCTGTTTGTTGTAGACAGGAACAAATAAACACACCCACAGACAAACAATGTGCAGAAACTGAGCGATTTTGGAAAACCCAATCCTAAATGGGGTATCTTCAACAAATCCTCCCACCAGGCCTGAGGGAACCCTGTGGAAGAGGAGGTGAAAAGACTGTAAGTGCCAGAGGGGATGGAGGAGACCAAGGAAACAAGGCCTTCTAAACACTGCAGGACCAATGCACATAAGAACTCAGAGACTATGGTAGCATTCATAGCTATATGGATCTGAGTTGGATGGGGTCTCAGCATTAAGAGGGAAAGCAGACACAAGTTCCATTCCTAACTCAGAAGCTATCTTCAATTGACAACTGTTCCTATAAGCAAAATTAGTTTTCTCTAATGGAGTCTCTCTGTAGAAACAAATCACTCTTAAGGGTAGACCTCAGAGACAGCAGTAGATGACCAACAGAAAATGGAAAAAAGTAGGAAGAAGGTAATAGTAAATCTGATTGTTAAAAAAGACTGCAGAAAATTCATAACAATGTTAAGATGTAGGAAAACTGGTCTCCTGGGTCCTGGAAATACCAACTATCCCTGCTGCAGTGCTGAGAAGTTCTATCCAGAGAGAACCTTCATATGGCGATGGATGGAGATAGAGACAGAGACACATATTGGAACACTGGACTTAACTCCCTAGGTCCAAATGAGAAACAGAGGGAGGGAGATCGGGAGCAAGGAAAGCAAAATCAGAGGGGGCCTTCATCCGACTATGGATGGAGATAGAGACGGAGACCCACATTGGAGCACTGGAAGTCAGGACCGCGAGGGTGCGTTCACCCACTGATACAAGGGGACTGATCGAATGAGAGCTCACCAAGGCCAGCTGGACTGGGACTGGACGAGCATGTGATCAATCCGGATTCTCTGAATGTGGCTGACATGGGGGCTGACTGAGCCCCCAAGGTCCAAATGAAGACTGAGAAGCCATTGACAATGGCACTGGGTCTTGTTTCGTCTACATGGACTGATTTTTTGGGATCCTGGCCTGTTTGGATGCTTACCTTCCTGGACCTGGAGGGAGGGGGGAGGAACTTGGATTTCCCACAGGGCAGGAAACCCTGACTGCTCTTGGGAATGGTGAGGGAGGAGGAGAGGGAGTGGGAGGAGCGGGAGGATATGGGGAGTGGGGGAGGAAGTGGAAAGAGTGTTTTGGATACTTGAATAAACAAGTCTAACAGAAAAAAAAAAACATGGGGTCTTGATGCTCATAAAGAATAAAAAAAAAGATGTAGGAAAACTAAGAAGATTTACAATAATAGTCTTCTACAATATGGAAAATGACTAAAGTATACACACAGGAAAGTCAAAGGAACAGAAGAGGGCTAGAAAGAAATTTGGCATGTGTAGACTTTTTTAAAATTCTTTTATGAGACAAGGTTTCTTTGTGTAACAGCCCTGGCTATCCCAGTCTACAGGACTAGGCTGGCCTTCGAACTTACAGAGATCTGCCTCCTGAGTGCTGGGATTAAAGGTGTGTGCCATAATTGTCTGACAACAAATTTTCAATAAGGGCAAAAAGCAATTCAATACTAAGGAACCTTTATGATCACTGTTTAGAAGACTCTTATTTGAAAAGTAAGTTGATTTTTATTTTTATTACAGACACAAAAATGGTTTTTTTAGTTAAAAAAACACCGTTTTAAGGATGAATTAAGCACCAAGTATATGACACCAAGAATGCAATCATAAAGACTGTCTTCAATAGCCTTGAAGAGTTCAGGTATGTGTAGTTCTAGATACTGAGGAAGTAGAGGCAGGAAAGAGAGAAGATATAGAGAGAAACGGCAGGGATAGAGAGGAAAACAGAGGAGAAGCAAACATCTTACAAGAGTACGCAACAGATGTGAATAAGGAAATGTGTTAAATCAACCAGCTTTAAAAAGAAAGAATTTCTGATATTCTATGACATATGTAAGAAAACAATTATATAAAGAGACATTAGCAAGGCAAAGAAGGGCAGATGTGTGATTTCACTTACATGAGGTTCATGAAGTCAGATTGATTTATGAAGTCAAAAAGCAGAATGCTTTTGCCAAGATCTGTGAAGAAAGCAAGTGAGGAGTTACTCTTTAAGGAATTCCCAGTTTCAGTTTAAAATTGCAGAAAACTTCAAAAGTTACATGGGGAAATGTAGTCTTTTGTGAATGTATGGACCACCACTGAAATAAGCAATAAGGGCTAAGTTTGGTTTTATTTCATCTCAAAAAAAAAAAGGGCTCATTTCTTTTTTTTTTTAGACAGAGTTTCTCTGTGTAGTTTTAGTTCCTGTCCTGAAACTAGACCAGGCTGGCCTTGAACTCACAAATATCTGTCTTCCGCTGCCTCCAAATAGCTGGGATTACAGGTGTGCACCACCATTATCTGGCGACTAATTGATTTTCATGTGTATGAATGTTTTGCTTGCATGCACGCATGTGTTGTGTGTTCCTGATACTTGTTGAGATCCAAAAACAGTTTCATACTGCTAGAACTGGAGGAACTGTTCTAAGTTGCCACAAGAGTGTTGGGGACCAAATGAAAGTTTTCTGTAATACCAAGTGCTCTTACCTACTGAGCTAGACTTCCAGTCACTTATTTTATCTCAATACTTAAAGTATTAGAAGCTATTGCACAGAAGGATAACTAGAGATAGCAATAAAAAATTATACATTTCAAAACCTAGAAGAAAGTGTTTTGATATTTTTCACAATGACTACAAATGCTTGAAAAAAAACTGGTTCAACTTAAGCATACCCTGATGGTATATATAATTTTAATTGAATATTAGAATTAAAAATTAGGTTTTTGAAGTTATTACATTATTTCCCCTCTCCCTCCAATCAATCCCTCCTGTGTAAACTTGCATTCTTCTTTCATATTTATGTGATGGCTTCTAAGCAAAGAAATGTAATAAACCACATAAATGGACTTAAAGACAAAAAAATCACATAATCATCCCAGCAAATAGAGAACAGGCATGTTAAAAATAATTTTTCCGTGATAAAAGTCCCAGAGAATGTAGTCACCAAGAATTACCACAAACAATAAAAATTATTTATGATAATCATCACCTTAAGTGGACAAAAGCTAGAAGCAACTCTAGTGAAGTCGGGAACCAGATAGGGATATCCACTACCCATACTCCTTTCCAATAATGTACTCAAAATACTCGAGGAATAGGCAAGAAAAAGAAATATAAGTGATATAAATAGTGAAGGAAGAAACTACACTATCTTTATTTTTCAGTGATATGATATTATAGATTAGAGATTCCCAAAATTATACCAGAAAACTCCTAGAAAAGATAAACAAATTCAGCATGTGGCAGGATAAAGAATCAACTGGAACAAATTAATACCTTTCTATATACCGACAGAAAACATACAGAGAAGGAGACCATGGGTATACTCCCATTCACAGTAGCCTCAAAGAAAATAAAGTATCGGGGTTGGAGAGATGGTTCAGAGGTTAAAAGCATTGCCTGTTCTTCCAAAGGTCCTGAGTTCAATTCCCAGCAACCACATGGTGGCTCACAACCATCTGTAATGGGGTCTGGTGCCCTCTTTTGGCCTGCAGGCACACAGACAGACAGAATATTGTATATACAATAAATAAATATTTTTAAAAAAAAGAAAAAGGAAAATAAAGTATATAAGAAAAACCTAGCCTTTACACCTCTAAAGAAAGATAGAAAGACATTAGAAAATGGAAAGACACCCTATGCTTATAGATTAGTAGAGTTAACATTATGAAACTGGTCATTATATCAAAAGCTACTTACAGAGGCAATACAATACCAATCAAAAGCCTTCCAATGTTCTTCAAAGAATTAAAAATATCATAAAATTCATATGGAACCACAAAAGGATAGCCCAAATAATGATGCCTAAAAGGAACAATGTTAGTAGGATTGCAATTTCAAATCTTATGTATAACAGAGTTATATATAACAGAGTTATAACACCAAATCAGATGTGGAAATGAATGGAACAGTATCAAAGACACAAACATGAGCACACATAGCTTCAGCCACTAATATCTGACAAGCACTCCAAAAGAGGATGTTAAAGAAAGTGTCTTCAAAAAATGGTGCTGTAAAACTGGATGTCCACATGCAGATGCCTTTTGTTGGAGTGTGAGGAACAAAGGACCATCATCCACTGTTGGTGGGACTGAAAATTGGTGTAGTCATTATGGAAATTAATGAGAAGTCTCAAAAAGCTAAAAATTCATCATCTTTCCACTCCTTGACATATGCCAAAATGTGGACATCCAACTCCACAGATATCTGTTTAGTCATTCAATGTTGCTTTATTCACAATAGCTTGGATATGGAAACAACCTAGATGTCCCATAACTGATGAATGTATAACTGGTACATATACATATACTATAGAATACTATTTAGCAAAAAAATGAATCATGAACAAGTAAATGGATGGAGCTAGAAAATATATTAAATTAAGGAAACCCAAACCCAGAAAGACAAACCACATGTTCTTTCTCATTGTACGTTCCTAGCTCCAAATCTTCAAATGTGAGTATATACCCTATAGTAACTACAGGAACCTGGAAAGTAAAACCAAGCTATTGCCAAGAAAGGGAGGTGGGGAGCATTAGAGGAATAAATAGCAGTGTACAAATGATCTAATTAGAGAAAGAGTAAACAGTAAATACAGAAGAAGGTAAGCAGAGGGCAAAAGGGAACAGCAGAATACAAGCAATCTATTTGACAGGCAAAATGAGAGAGGGGCTTTTAGGGAGCAGGGAGGGAGGTAAATACAGAAGATGAAGAAAGCGGGGTAAAATAACAATGTCTGAAAAAGCCACAAGAAATCATACTATTAACTGTTTACCTTTAAAAACAATAGTTCACATACATAGTCTGTGTATAAATAAATGTAGCCATTTTTAATGAACTTTTCTCATCTGGTCTGAATATGCGCCTTCCAAGAGCCAAACACCACCTAAGGTCACAAAGCAGGTTCCCCCAATGGTAGTGTTAATAACGATGATTCAGTTACAACCTGAGGTGGTTTTGCCAGGAAACAGAAACCTAAAGAATTCCTCAGAGGCCCTTAAAGGTTGGCTGAATGCTCCTGACTACAACTCTCAGTAAAACCACTGTGTGACAGAGTCCCCATGCCAAACACCTGGCAGTCCCAGGTTTCAAGAACACCTCTCCTCTGTCACTGCCATCTACCCTTATAAAACCTAACAAGCTTTGGTAGTTGGGTGCTGTCCTCCACTGTCTGAGGCAGTCCAGCAAGTTTTGTTTTGTATTTTGATAAACGGTTTCATGTTGCACCTACTTACACTAATCAAAACCCTAATACCAGACAAGGGGAATTCTCTTTTGGTTTGTTGACCAGGTTTGTCCAAGACATTCCCCAAATATAAGAGCCCATTGCTGAAGGTCCCAAACACTTGAGACAAAGGGTCCAGGGGCCCTTGAATTGGACCTGACCTGAGTGCCTTCCTCAGGAGAGCTTTCACTGTACAGAATTGTGGTGGGAGAGAAGCAACCTATAGTCCTACTCAGCTATGGCGCATATTCCACAGGAGCAGAATGGTACAATAACCCTAATGGAGCAATAGTTGCATACTTTGACAGTAACCAATAGTATTCTAAATGAACTTAAGACTTGCTCCACTAGAGGGAAACCATTACTGGTACTGGAAACCTAACTAGCTTCTCAGTGCTAGTGAAATCATGGATGTTGGAGAACCTATAACTACCACTTCACTAAAAAAAAAGCATAATCCCTAACTGGCTTCTAAACATTTATGCTTTTACTTACATGTAAGTCTAGTCCTCCCTGTCATCAAGGGAACTTCTCTTTGCAACAGAGACTACCATAGAAAACCACAACCAATAAGACACAGAGTTACGGAGGCCAGAACAAATAGATACATCTATAAAAGACTCCTGCACTTAAGACTCAGAGAACATTTAGGAAGATTGGGCAGAAGAATTGTAATGGCCAGAAGATCAGGGAGCTTGCTAGATTATGTTTCCTATGCATACAAAAATCTACACACATAAAGTCTCACAATCACGACTGCTCAGATGTGAGCTGAAGAATGACACCAAGGCACAGGCAATTGAGGAAAGCAGGGACACAGGGGTGGCCCTCCCTAGGGAAGAGAAAAGCAGCTGGTTGTCTAGTGCCAAATGGTCATCCTTGACAACATACATACCAATAACATATGGACTGAGAAGGTTATATTTAGGAATACTATGTACATACATATAGCTAAGCACTAATAATTAATGAAAAAATAGGTCATGAATTTGAAGGAGTGGGGAGGGGTGTTTGGGAGAGTTTAGAAAGAGAAATGTAAAAGACTGTTTCCACAGCAGGTAAGTTTGAAAGATTAGCAGAGATGCAAAGCCAAGGAGAAATCAGGCAGCAAGCCTTTCTGGTCTCTATGGAGAAATACAGACTAGTACCTCAGAAAACAGACCAAAGGGCAAGAATTCTGTGAGGATGCTCATGACCACCAGTCCCACTAAGACTGCAGCATCCCATTCGTTATCAGAACCCACTATGGGCCTTACCACCTGTAGCCTTTGTGGAGGGTTTTCCAGTATCCCAACTGGTACCCTGGCACAGCAATTCTCCATGGTCAACTGTACACCTGCTTTCCTTCCTTCTCCCAGGAACCCTGCCTCCTGCAGCTACTGTCAACCTTGCAGAACGGTGATCTCAGACTGGATCCTAATCTTGTCTGAAAGATTAGACAAATCTATAACTATGACTCAAACTTCCCTTCTTAGCCCAATACAATGAGAATAAAACATGAAAATAAAAAACATTACTTAAATTCTTTGGTGGTTTCAAGATAATTGGTCCCCAAAACAGGGAGTGGCAATATTAGGTGTGGCTTTGTTGGAGTGAGTACAGCCCTGTTAGAGGAAGTATGTCACTGTGGGGGTTGGCTTGGATGTTTCCTATACTCAGGATACCACCCAGACTGTGAGTCAACTTCCTGTTGCCGGCAAGATGTAGGAGTCTCAGCTATTCCTCCAGTACTACATCTACGTGCATGCCACCATGCTCCCCACCATGAAGAAAATGAACTGAATTTCCGAAACTGTAAGCAAGCCAACTCAATTAAATGTTTCCTTTGTAAGAATTGCCAGGGTCATAGTGTCTCTTCATAGCAATGAAAAACCTAAGACAAACACATGATACATATTCTATATATAAAATATATATTTATGTATATTTTATTTACCCAAATAACCAATAAAGTAGAATTTAGATCTGAGGATACAGTTTAGTGGCATAATGTTTACCAAGCAAGCACAAAACAGTGTCAGGGCATTCATATTTAATTGCAACTACTAAATACAGAATGGCACTTTTACTGAAGTTTACCCTTGTTGGGCCTATTTCAATCAGTGCTATTCATGCATGCATACACAAAGAAATGAAGAAGACCGTATGCTATCATTTCTTCAATTCTACTATGATTCAAATCCATTTCTCTTTCTGTTATGACCTGGACTAGGGCAAAACAATATGAGTTGCATTCTCAGTAAATCAATATACCCAGCTGCCATCTAGGTCATGTTCCAGGAGCTAAAAGGGAAGAGTGAGATATATTTCCATCAAAATGTGGAGGAATAAAATTCAGAAGAAACTGCTACATTAACCCACATATCAAAGGAGTCATAATATATGATAATCATATTTAGAAATAAAATATAAATATATATATACACATATGTGTGTGCGTGCACACACACACACACACACACATATATGAAAGAGACTATACTTTACAGAGCCTGATGATGCACACCTTTAATTGTAGCACCAGGGAAGGAAAGACAGGTAGGCATCATTGAGTTTGAGGCCTACCTGATCTATACAGTGAGTTCTATGTCATCCAGAGTTTCAAAATAAGATACTGTCTCAAAACAAAATGAAAGGAAACAAAACAAAACAATGTACAAAACCCCCAAACAGTATTTCCATTTTGGGGGATGTAACAGTTGTCTAGGCTAAGTCAGGGGAAATGAAATAGTGTTACAAGCATTAAAGGAAGAAAGTAATAATGAAGCCAGAGCAGGTCTGTAATTACAGCAACTGAGAGGTTGAGGTAGAAGGATCAGGAGAGTTCAAAGCCAGTCTCAGCTAGCTGAAAAGTTCAAGGCCAGCTTGCGTTTCAAAGACCCTGTCCCTCCCATTAAAAAAGAGACAAAATGTCAGAAACCCAAGAAACAGAAAATACATAGTATAAAATGAATTGTCTAAGTAAAGTTCTAATGTTTGTTTAAAAAGTTAAAAAAACAACAAAGCAGTATCTAAACCAGGAGTGGTACACACAACTCTACAATCTCAGCACAGAGAGAAGTTGAAACATGAAGATTATAAATTTCAGAAGCCAGTCTGGACTACATTGTGAGATCCTGTTTAAATAATAATAATGATAATAATAATAAAGATTAAGTATATAAATATTAGAAATATGTAGAACACATTAAAACATAAGTGATTGTGAACAAAGTTTGATTACACAGCTTAAACATTTTATGGAAATAATAACTTCCTTATGAAATTTTTATTATAACAAAATATAAAACAAGAATGCAATACAGTCTGCCAGAACTTAAGTATAGCTTTAATAAAATAAAGTTTTCCCAAGCTGGGCATGATGGCAAAACCCCTTAACTCCAGCACAGCACTCAGGCCACTGGAGCAGAAGACTGGGAGGCTACAAAATAAGATTATAACTTTAAGACAAAAAAATGTGTGTATGTCTGGGCACACACATGAAGGTCACAGGACAAGCAAAGGAATTAGTTGTCTCCTTTCACCTTGCTAAGTAAGGGTCTGTCTGTTATTTCTGCAGTGCTGTTTTCTAGAACAGTTGTAACCCTTCCCCGATACACACAGACACACACAAGTGTGTGCGTTTCTAGCCCATTTTACTTTCTTAGCCTTCCATTTTTTTTTAAGGAGTGATGGGATTTGACATGTGTACTCAGGGATTTGACATGTGTAGTCAGACCTGCTCTGCAAGTGATGTGACCCAATGAGCCATTTCACAGACCCATTTGCACTTCTTATCAGCCAGGGTCTCATGAAGCCCAGGGTGGCCTACAGATATGCATGCAGTCTACACTGCGCCTGAACCGCTGATCCTTCTGCTTCGTCTTCTTCCGTGTTGAAATCATAAAGTTGCATCAATATGCACAATAAATGGTGATATTCTTACTTAAAATACTCCAGATTTAGAGGAGGAAAAACCTCTGCCTCATTTTAGGAGAATGACTGACATAAGCCTGAAACAGAAAAAGAAAAGTTATCATAAAACATACACACAAAAAAACTGAAGTTCAAAGATCAAGACAATGTGTCCTTTCTAAATAAGTTAGTTACCTATACAAATTCAATGTACCACTGGAAAGTCATCTGTCTTAATTTTACTATTCTTTCAACAACAACAACAAAATAATAATCAAACAAACAAAAACTCAGTTATTTGTTCATTCATTCAGCTTACCATCATTTTACTAGCTAAGACAAGGTACTTAAATTTATTAGCACCTGAAAGACAGTGTGAAAAAAAGAACAGAAAAGAAAATAGTTGGTAAAAGACTACAGCAATATATCAGAAAAAGAAAAGAAGAAAAAGGAAACTATAGACAAAATAAACAAAGAGATAAATAAAATTAGAAAAACCCCACCAGAAAGACAAGTTCCTTGACCTAAATAAACATAGAAGTAAAAAATTCCAGCACAAAGAAGTTCATTGCATTTATAGTCAGAAGTGAAACAGGACCACCTATGATTTTTCTATACAAATTCATCAACGATATTTCCAGTCTCCAGAGAAATCAGAATATAGCAAGTATGTATAACCCAAAGGAAGCACACATATCTACTATTTTATTCAGATGACACAATTATCTATGAATAACATCCAAAATAGCATACTAAAGTAGCAGAACTATCTTTATCAACAATGTGGATGCCAAATTCAGTAAGCACAACAGTTTGAAGAAAATATAATTGGACACCCAAAGTCAATGTTTTCAGTTATTAATAGTCAGGTTGCATAAAATGCCAATATTCTGAAGATTTATATACAGATTCAACAAACCTCAGAAACAGAAATCCAGTATTTGGATTTTATAATCTCATTTTAAAATATAAGATATAACACTGCTGAAAACTGAAGACAACCTGCTGAGGACAAGATACTTGGAAATCTCAAAATTACAAGAATGGCATACTTGCATCAGTATGAGCAACATGATTTTTATGAAAGTACATAATAGGGCAATATGTATTTGGGGAAGAGTAAAATCAACATGGTTAATCACAGGGGAGAGTGACATGCACTGTAACAAGAGCATATGAGCTTTTAAGGTTTAATGACCTCCAACATAGTCTAGCTTGTAAAGTCACTCACTGGTTACCTTTTTACATTTTTCATAATATAAAAATAAACATTTTATTTTAACTTAGCTGGACAATTAACTGGCACCTAATACACTCATCATTGTGCAACCATTACCACTGACCTCTACAATCATGCTTATTGTTTATGGATACTGTTGTCACCTGCTAGATTGTAAACAAAAATTTGGCCTCTGCAGAGAATATACTTGTTGCTGTCCTTTTAATTATAAACTTGAGTATGAAAATTGACCTTTTTGGATGTCTATTGTAAAAGGATAAAGGGTGGATATAACATGGGGAAAACTGAAGGGAGAACATAAGTGACTACAGTATTAAATGAACTAACTTTTGAGTTAAATTGGCAGTATATCAAACCGAATGACAAGCAACTTTATTTGCATGATTGTCATCCAACAAACGCATAAAGTAATTTAAGATTTAACATAGAAAAAGTATTCTGCAAGTTTAACAAAAACAGTGTGTTCTCAAACGACAATTTTAGAAAGAAAACCCATGCTAAGAGCAACTCCTGCCATTCTATCACGCTTGAACACCTTGCTCTACGAATATTTTTGTTTGTTTGTTTTGGTTTTCTCGATACAGGGTTTCTCTGTAGCTTTGGGGCCTGTCCTGGAACTAGCTCTTGTAGACCAGGCTGGCTTCGAACTCACAGAGATCCGCCTGCCTCTGCCTCCGAGTGCTGGGATTAAAGGCATGCACCACCACTGCCGCGTCATGCTCTACGGATTTTTAAAAACAAGTCGACAGAACCTTCCTTTGTCACCTATGAAGTTTTCGAATCCCAATTCTCAGTCTCCAGCTATGGGGACCAAAGGACATGTGCCTCCTAAGGTTTCTGGTGTCCTCATTCCTGACACCTACTGACCTCTGCTTCCGGGAGCTAAAGGGTTAAGTGATGAAACCCGTGCTTACCCGACTGAGTGGAATCCAGGAAGTATCCTCAGCTAAGGCGGAAAAGCAAGAAATTCACAGAAAAGATCCCTAACGTTTCGGGGAACAATAGGGTTCCGAGAGATATACATGGGAGAAAACCCTAAACATTCTCTCACGTGTCTTACGTCAATCGCTTCCTTGGGTTACTGACTCCGACTTCAGTTTCGCCTCCGAAATCTCGCGGAACTTCATTAGTCGTTTATTACGTGAAATCCTCACGTTGTGCATTTTGGGAAATGAAGTTCGATACCTATGACGCGTCCTGCATCTAGAGGAACTGGGAAATCTCCTGTTGAAACCAATTGATTGAAGAAACTTGCAACCGAATTGGTTTATGGGAAATGTAGTTCCTGAGTTTGACAGCCATGGAAAGGATGCCCAAGCAGAGTGTGTGTTTCGGGCACATTTTACCAAGTTCTAATTGCCCCAGAGCTTTATGCGTCCGTCCTCAGCTTCTTCTTCCTATAGACATCAACCTGCTAGCAGTAATTTTTCCAACTTTAAATATTGTGTATACAATCACCAAACTCAGATTTTCACTCATAATCTGTACCTCTACACCCAAAGGCAGGCTACCTTATTTAGAAGATATTTTATAAACATGTTAAAATGCTGAAATAGAAACCCCAACCTCAAATTATAGCAATTCTATCACATGTCCATTTCAAAAACAGTGTTCATACAAAACAGCTTGTGCCTTAGACACATTTGTCCACGTAAATTATGAACCAAATACCAGTGACCATGACCTAAAAACAACTGAGGGTGTCACAAAAGACAAATTTCACCATGGAACCGCCTAAAAGAGATTTAATTGGTTGCAAAATGAAGAAACTCAAAGATCAAGACTTTTAACATATATGCTGATGGTGGGCGGGAGAGGGGTACATAGCTGCCTTGCAGAAAGGCAGAGGAAACTGCTATATGTCTGGATTACTATCCAATAGTATCCTTAGTTTTTGGATTGGTTGAAATTATTCATCTGTTACTAATATATGTTAAAGAATTTTTTAAAAGGTTGTTCAATCAAGCACAGAGGTGGAAAATGAAATAAAATGAGGATACTGTAAATTGCCCAAAATAATTTGGTTTTTGATCAATATTCTAACTCCATTTAAATTATGAATCTCTCATTACCCTATAATCTTTCCGTTTGCAACATATCCTCTTGGCATGGGCCATGATACCAAACTGAAAATCATGAAGTCATTTAGGATTGAAGAAATTTCAAACTAGGTATGAATGTGTATTATTTCTCTCTTTTTGGCAGTAGGCCAAAAAGACATTTATGACAGTCAGCAATTTTTCATAATTTTACTCGTTTATCTCCGGTCAATAGTACACAAAACATCACTTAATTTACCTAAAATATGTATGTTCATCATGAGCATCTAAAATACCTGGAAGCTAAAAATGTCACTATGTAGAATTTGAGACCCCCAGTGGTGATTTCATGGCCCTTGCTGAAACCCTGTTACATGTGGTTGAACAATATAAGAAGGTTGTGCAACCTTTGGCAAGTGGAATTTTGAGTAGGTGAGACTGGAGGCTTGTCTTTTTGTTCTTGTTTGTGTTTTTTACAGGGTTTCTCTGTATCTTTGGAGCCAGTCTTGGAACTAGCTCTTGTAGACAAGACTGGCCTCGAATTCACAGACAACTGCCTGCCTCTGCTTCCCCAGTGCCAGGATTAAAGGTGTGCACCACCACTGGCCTGCTGGGACTTGAGGTTTGATAGTCTAATTGCACTTCTGTTTGTTCTCTTCTTTCCCTGAGACAGGTTTTCTCTGTGTATTCCTGGATGTCCTGGAATTCACTCTGTAGACTAGGCTGGCCTTGAATTCACAGAGATCCACCTGACTCTTCCTTTGGGGTGCTGGGATTAAAGAGGTGTGCCACCACTGCCCAATTTTTCACTACTTCTTAACTACAGATGCCATTTGAGAATCTGCCTAGTCACCCCACTGCCAGGATTTCCCAACTGCAGTGTACGGTATCCTTCAAGCTGTAAACCAAATGACTCTTCAACTCTAAATTACTTTTTGTCTGTTGTGTAGTCACAACAAGGAAAGTTACTAATAGAATTGTGTAAAAAATTATCAGCCTACCAAAATAAAACTACAGATTCAACGTAATTATCATAAGAATTCCAACACAATCTTCACAAAACTTGAAAAGACAATATTCAGATTCATATGAAAACAAAAAGTCCAGTATAGCTAAATACTCTTGAATAATAAAAAAACTTCCAGTGGTATCATAAGCAGCGATTTCAAATTATACTACTGAGCTACAGTAATGAAAACAGCATGAAAATGACACACAGACATGTTGATGAATGAAATCTACTTGAAGACTTAGACATAAGTTCACATGATTATGAACATTGTTTTATATAAAGCAGAAATAAATACATATTGGAAAAAAGACAGTATCTTAAAGAAGTGGTGCTGTTCAAATTGGGTATCTGCATATAGAAGAATTCAAATAGATCTATACTTAAAACTCTGTCCAAAGTTAAACTCCAAATGGATAAAAAAATTTCCAGCATAAGGCCAGATATACTTAATACAATAGAAGAGAATTGAAGAGAATATTCTTGAACTCACTGGATGAGAAAAAAACTTTCTGAACAGAACAGCAATATCACAAGCAATAAGAGCAGTTAATAAACGAACCTCATGAAACTGAAGTTCTTGTGTATGGTAAAGGAAACATCATTTGGACATTTGGAGAAAGCATCAGTCTACTTACTGTAAAAATATTTTTTGACATCCAATAAAAAGCTAATAAATAAAATTTATAAATATTTAAAAACTGTCCATCAAGAAAACAACCTATATTCCTGATTAAAAGAGGGGTTGTCTTAGTTAAGATGTTTACACCTGTGAAAAAATGCCAGGACAATGGTAGCTCATATAAAGGAAAACATTTAATAGAACTGGTTCACTTATAGTTCAGAAGCACAATCCATTATCATTATAGTGAAACATGGCAGTGTGTGTTAGTGCCCGTGTGGCTCTAACATAGAGAGCTATTTTCCCTAACTGAACTGGTATGGAGGTGCAAGGAATAAACAGACACAGCTTACATCATTATTATGGAAAAGGGCATCTCAGGCTTCTTTCTCCTGAAGATTTCCCCACGTTTATTCTCCAAACATCTTTTATACCAATATTTAAACTGGGAGGAAAAATACATCAGCATTCTGTCTCCTAGGTAACCAGGTGAATGGCCTTTTGTCACGTCCACATCTACCTGTCTGCTGAGTATGCTAGCTGTCATGTAGGCTTGAATTATCATCTCTATAAGGTATCCTCCAAATTACAAAGAAAGTAGCAACAAACTTCCTGACCTTTGTTAGGCAGAGACAGCTTGTCTGCTGACTTGGGTGGGCCTCTATGGCTTCAGCGCCTGGCAGCCACCATATAGAAATTTGGGCCTACACATGTGCAGGCAGACATGGTGCTAGAGAAGTAGTCATGAGTCTTACATTTTGGGGGCAATAGGCAATGGTTTGTCTCACTGGGAGTAACTTGAGTATAGGAGACCTCACAATGACTACTCTGACAATGACTCATCTCCTCCACCAAGGTCACACCTACTCTTACAAAGCCACACTTCTTAGTAGTGCCACTCACTTCGGAGGGGCATTTCTTTTAAACTACCACAGGGGTATAGATCTTGAAAGAGAACACAAAAACAAAAGGTAAGATCAAATGCCTGAGAAAAACTTAAAGAAATGTTCAGCATCCTTAGTCATTAGGGAAATGAAAATCAAAACTACTTTGATATTTCATTTTACACCTGTCAGAAGGGCTAAAAACGAATGACAGGTAGTGCTAGAGAGAATGTGATGCAAAAGAAATTCCTTCTTTGCATGTGGGGGTGCAAATTTGTATAGCCACTATGGAAATCAGTGTACCAGTTCCACAGGAAGATGGGAGTTGATCTTCCACAAGTCTTAGCTATAGCATTCTTGGGCATATGTACTCAAAAGACACTCATTCTATTTCAGGGATACTTGCCCAACAATCTTGATTGCTGCTATATTCATAATATTCAGAAATTGGAAACAGAAGAATAGATAAAGAGAACATGGCACATTTACACTATGGAATATTACTCAACTATTAAAATATGAAATTATGAAATTAGGTAAATGGATGGAACTGGAACAAATTATCCCAACCGAGGTAACCCAGAACCAAAGAAACAAGTACAATAGGTATTCACTTATGTGCATGGTAAGATACTGTATTCATATAAGCATTGAGATTAGCTATAGATAAGGGACTAGCAAGAAGGAATGGATTTCCCTCAGAAGGAGAAGTGGAAAACAATGTTATAAGTGGACAAGGAGGGGCAATTGGACCAGGAGATTCAAACTGGGAGGGAAGAGAAAAAGATGAGTTTGGAAAAACAAAAGATGAACAGCTAAAACCGAGGACCATTTGAGGTGTCATATGGAAACTTAACACAGTAGAGGCTTCCTAATAAAGATAAATATACTGGACATCTCTCATTACCAAACAAAGTCTTCAGTTCTGGGTATAGATTATATTTAACATAACTGTTCATCCTAGGGGCCTATGGGAATCCTTAAAGAAAATCAAAGATTTTGGTATCTATAAACTAATTGTAAAGTTCTATTGTTTAAGTCAATACCTACACATATCATTGAACATGGAAAAGTCAAGCAGGTATCTACCCAGGGGCTACACCCTTCCTGACTAGTGCTCTTGGTACTGGAAGGTAGTCTGCACACTATCAAATGAGGAAGATAAACACCAACCCAACTCTAAATCCTTTGATGTACAGCAAAGTCTGGCCTGAAAGATGTACTGGTGCAGTAGTGGCACAAAATTTGTGAGACTAACTAACCAATATCCGACTGCACTGAATGCCCACTACATAAGAAAATCCATCTTGTCCTTGCTTAGGTGACCAAGAACTTGAGGAACAAGATAGGCCAGAGACCTGGGGGAAAACCAGATAACTACTTTTCTCTTGAAGGAAAATAGTATAATGACATTTTGGTATATTCATAAGTCAGTGTCTTGCTCAACCATCATCAGAGAAGCTTCTTCCTACAGTATATGGTAACAAATACAGAGAAGCACAGACAACAATGAGAATAAAGTTAGAGACCATAGAACACTCAGTTCTAACTGATAATACTGTACCAAATCT